CCGACCGACTATGCATCCGGCCAGAGAGCGCAGAGGAGGTTTAAAGGGCTGAGTTCAAGTAGTCCGTCGACCTGTTCGTCTGCTCCTCCAAGGCTTAGTCCACAGGGACAGTTACTCTTTCGCCATTATGTGGCAGTTTCAAAATACGCGCCATCGGTGACTAAGCCTTGGTAGAGCAGACGAAAACAGCGCCGCGCCATCGCGTGCCCCCCCCCCTCCAAACCCGAGTTTCGCCCACATATGCACCAATACAAACAAGAAATACGATATTTAGACGATTTAGGAATTCATATCAACCAAAAAACCGGTCCAACGCCCTACAGTTTACACGCAATCGAGAGAGGACCAGTCACACAATTGCACAGGACCCGCACAGCCAACCAGTTGATCCCCACGATTAGCAAGTTGTGGACCCGAGGAAAAGGCGGAGCTGACGAGTTGGCACTTATCCAAGTCCCTTACAGAAGCTTTCCAAGGTGAGTTTTTTCCCCAGCGACCCTGCATGTTTGACAAGGCCTCAAGCGCTGCCATTTATTCTTCATTTTGCCATTTGGAACTTATCAAATAGTGTCAATACATCTCCAAAATGTTCCTCTACTTGACGGAACAAAAAAAATCACGAAAGTAGACCAGCAAATCTCACTGAATAATCCAAAACACTGAACATCTGTATCTTGAAGACACCATGCCAATTTTTCTTCGTGCAATTCAAAAAAAACGAAAAAATGAAAGCAATGTAATTCACACTATACAAATATTTTCTAAAGAATGAATTTTAATTGAATGGAAACCAATATACAAATAGTATAACTGCAAATTTGCGCTACTGCAGTCGCTCCAATCGACGCTTCCGAGTTCTGTTCGTTTGATGAGCGCGAAGGTAGTCATGTAAGCGATTTCGACACTTCACACTTTCTTCGTACAATTTCTTTTCGAGGTTATCTATTTTCTTAGGTGCTTCATTTCCACGATACATTCTGAGCACAATACCTGTAAAAGCACATATACTGTACACTACAATGTGATAAGGAAAATAACACGATATGTGAAATTAATAACAAGTTTTCAAACACTGGCAATACTTTCAACAACTTGTGTTGCAAGGATGGCGATTGGATATGCAGATTTGATGGCCCACAGACAGAAAGATATCGCTGTATTTTCTTAGGTAGAATTTTATTCTTCCCAACTCAAGGGAGAAGACTTTTCCTTCGAACAAGCTACATTAATGCCGATTCGTTTAGTACGAAGAAGCGCAACGTTCCGATTTCTGAGGCAGCGACCACGTTAATCTGATTTAATCGTGATGAGGCGCTGAGCAAACTAATTGGAGACTCAAACACAAGCCAGTACTCGAGCGCGCCCACAACTGAGACTTTGAGAGGACATGGTTGCACCTATCGTGCTGTGCCTTTTATCATCTGCACTCAAGGCAGTCTCCCAACGCTTTCCGCCGTAGCGGTATGCTCACGTGTGCTCGGGATGGCAAGCAGGCAACAGCCATCGTAATTTTGCGTCTGGTGTGCGCTAAGCAGTATCCGCGGTCAGAAAATCTTTCTGTGGATGGGATAGAGTAGCATGTGCAGCACAAATGTGCCGTTGTCGCGTCTCGAAAATGCGCGACAATGGCACTAGGGCCATAGTGAGCTTATGGCGAATAACTTAAAGACGTACACCCTATGATACTCAGCGTGGATTACGGCATAGCGGCTATTTCAAAATGCGCAGGCTAGTGGGCCCATGGAGCAAGCAAGTTCGTAAAACTCGTTCGACCTCGCCCCTTTCTCTTCCAAAGAGAGATAAGAATAATTCTGGCCAAGGAGCTCATTGACTGTTTCCGTGCTTCTTTTTTCATTTTCTGTTCCCGCAACTTCATTATGAGACGCTGTAACCCCACCAATTCGATCCGGGGTGTTGCTTTAACGCACTGCGGAGCCGCCGTTATGTGTACACTCCTTTTGGTTTTTGTCATCTGTTGGGTCACTAACCACATTTTATCACTGTTCTGAAATACGACAACTTCTGTGCTAGGAAATGCTTATTAATGAAGTTGTACTCTGAAAAATGGCAACTAAGCCTAAGATAACTGTCCATTTCCATGTGGTGGCATGCTGTACATGGTGCGGCACGCGGTCCGCAATGGATCAAGTGGATAAGCTTCCTCCCTTCTAAGGTCAAGAAAGAACATGGTTAGACGATTGATACTGGAGAGGAGAATGATGGATGGCAAATTTAACCCTTTCTGGACCGCCTGACCTCCCCTCCAATTAATGGTTCAAGTCAAAAGATGTTCAAGTGCTACTGCAATTCAAAGAGACTCTTGAATGAATAGAATATCATCACAAGAACAAGTGTTTTTTATCGCGATTAAATTCATTTGGTTATTTCAAATACGGCTCACCTCCGATGCGTTGGACGAAAGCCTTCAGCAAACACTCTGCCAAGGCAAGACTGACACCTTCGCTAACTGAATGACAAAAATGCATTCCCATTTCGTAGTAATATGGTTGGAAGGGCTTCGAGATCAGCATGAGCAGCATTAGCCAGCAAAATATTCCGCACATTTGTATTATAGGCCATTGGGAGGGTGAACTGAAAAATACCAACATAATGGTGTGTAGGATTGCACTGCATATACAACCTGTGTGGGATCATGGTAAAAGCGATTATTGTTACGATTAAAGAGGTTCTGACGAAAATTCCAACAAAAGAACTTGAGAAAAAGAAAATGCGGGTTGATCAACAACGAAATCAGTTTGAAATAGAAACCAAGTCCGAGAAATCCATATTTCGCCAGAGCAAATGCGATTATAGCCACCGCTTTAAGATCACCAAGTCCCACTTTGTATTGAGCCACTCCTTGTAGAGTCCGTTAGCATGTATACAAAAAATGAGATTTTTCAGCCATAGTCAGTCATTTTTAGAGGTCTTAATGTAAGCGACTTTTCTGGACAGCACCAGCAAAACTTTTCTTGGATGAACTTTAAATTAGCTTGTTTGAAGTGATTCACCCACTGAGGATATCGGTAAACGCGACAAAATTGGAATGTAGGTGCAGGAGCATCTTTAACCCATTTGTGACAATGGCATCCACCGGTGGCTGCCGTGTTTCAAATGGAATTTGGAAAGTTTTCTTTCATGAAAAGAATCTTCATACCCTCATTCATCTACGCCAGCCCTGGGCAGAGGAAATCTCCATCCACTCAAATTTTATTGAAGAAAAATCTCCTGCAATCAAAAAACTGCTATTGCGCAATCCGGTTAATGAAAGTCTTCTTGAGACGCTGAGCTCTTAGGATTCACCTCAAGGAAACAAAGTAGCTAGATGCAACGGAGACCTTTACAACCGAGCTCCGAGCTAAACTCAACAAAATAAGATATCGCGCCGTTATTGCAAAAACCAACACCTGAAACCTTTATGGTCTATAATGGTGTCGGGCGGATACCCGGTGACGCACCGTCAGCATGCTTTGTAGAAGTTAGGAACTACCTCATCTGAAATTTCTCAAGCGATCCACTAGAAAAACTGACACGAATAGAAATGCCTCCCCCTCCCCCTCCCTCCACGGCGGTGGCTCCACCACTTCAAGGGCCTGATGACACTTTTCATGAGCTCATCATTTACTTCTGCACATAATGAAAAAGGAAGAGAGGAAGACTGGAATATTGAAAAAATCTCACCGAACAAAATGGTTCCAGCGCCCGAGCAAACCAAAAAGGTGTCAAAACTTTGTATCCTTTCTCATCTGTGTAGTGAGGCGCGTTTGTGCCAAGCAACTCGTATACTTCTGAACAAAAGAAAACAATGTTAGGTGTGCATGCAATATACAATGCAAACAATGTTGGCACATGTACAAGGCCTCACGAAATCAATGTTTCCTAGTTTTCCTCTCTTCCTTCTCTATGCTTTTCGCCCACTCGAAATCCACGAGTTTTTAATGTTAGGTACCCTAAGTACCGAAGCAGCAATTCTAATATTCTGCTGCCGAAGTATTTAGCCGAAGCGTATGAACGCCACACTTGCGATAGCGTCAGAGAGAAGGAGGAATTCCTACAGATTATGGTGGAACACTTTCTTTCTATCACAGTTCCTTAAACTATCAAAGTCATTTTCTATTACCAAGGTTCAAACTTTCATTTTTTGTCACATCACAAAGTAGTAATCGTTTCTCTGAAGAGAAAGACTCACAATACGGGGAGCTATTGAAACGTCATCTTGCTCTGCTCTTGCGATCGTTGCTGTCGTCCGACCGACTATGCGTGTGCCCTTAGGCAGCTCATGACTACGGCTCCCCCACTTTCTTCACGATTTGGGGCGCGGCCGCGGCGAGCGCGGACGAGTTGATAGTGCCCGCGAACTGTGGTGGTGGAGTGTTTTCAAACCCGCACAGTTCGCGGGCACTATCGACTCGTCCGCGCTCGCCGCGGCCGCGCCCCAAATCGTGAAGAAAGTGGGGGGGCATGACTACTATAATATCACATATTGAAACTTTACCTCACAGACCACCCCAGAGCCACATCCCCCTGAAGCATAGACCACAGCTCTATCTTACCTTTGGCATCCGTATTCAAAGCTGAGCCAGCCAGTGTACGCTAAACATCTATCGCGGCAGAAAACATTGGAAGAAGTCAAAGTATTCACGCAACCCTTGTCATAGGTCCCCTCGACACACTCTCTTTGCGGTAGTCTCGTCGAATGATTCAGGATCAAATAGAGAGAGTAGCCATATCCTACCCTACTCTCTCTCCCTTCCTGCCCATACTATTCACAGCCAACCTGACAGAGTAAGGCTGGTGTCAGAGTCCGCGATTCGATTTTCGCGATTTTCGCGATTTTCGCGATTTTTGCGCGATTTGCGCGATTTTCGCGATTTTCGCGATTTTCGCGCGATTTTGCGCGATTTTTCGCGATTTTCGCGATTTGCGCTGCGATGGATCACAGGAGTTGGAAGTGCCCGATGAATACTGCGAGGTGTTGTTTAATCCTGCTGCGAATTCTGCTTGGCAGTAAAGATTGGAAGACGAATGTTTGTGGTTCTACTTGTTTCATGTTCAATGTCTATTAGTTCATTGAAATGCTCTTGAATCGTCCTATTTTGTTTTTTTTTTCAGGAATCAACCAAACCAATCACAAAAATTGCAAGTGCCCCATTTGAACAATTGAAACACTGGATATGAAACAAGTGGAATCATGAGCAGTCTCCATTAAACCATAACCATCAAGCAGAAGTGACGGCGGGATTGGAGAACACCTTGCAGTATGGATGGGGCACTTGTAATTTCCGTGACCCGTCGCGCAAATCGCGAAAATCGCGAAAATCGCCAAAAATCACGCAAATCGCAAAAATCGCGCGACAATCGCGAAAATCGCGCTAATCGAAATCGGGACTCTGACATTATTTGCAATTCTCTGACACCAGCCTAACGAATGACTCCGGATAGCGATTAAGATATGAATTGATTTGCTAAGCGTGAAAAAGGAAGGCACTACAAGATTAGGCATGGAATCGAAAAAAGCATGTAAAGGCATACCCACAGCAGACAGCGCAAACATGTAAGCTCTCGAAGGCACCTCCACGCTGTACTCACCTCGTGGAGTATTACTGCTATAAGTGCATGCTACTTTCGTCGAACGAGATAGCAACGAGTCAATGTCGTAGAAGTCAGCAGCAACATCACTTTCATTACTTGCCATCACTGATTAGTTGACACCTCCTTAACCATAGACCGCACATCCACTACGTACATAGGCGCCCAAACCTACTATCTCTAATTATCACCGTACATTCGGCTTGCCGCGACATAAAACGTGATGTTTACGATATTTTATCCGCACCCTGCGCCCTGTGCGATTTGCGTAGAATACAAAGCAGCGAATTACAGCACCTTGATACTAGCACAGCGCTAATGTCCGCTAACGTATGAGCACACATGTCATCTGTCTTCAATTGATAAACTAGGTTAGAACTTGTCGAATCAGAGAATATAATTAAGAATCTTAGAGTAACCTTATAGCTGGTCTATGCATTGTTTTGCAGTATCATCTTTCCGAGAGTAGGGTGCGAGCAAGTGGAATTTCTGGTGGTAGTGGACATCAAGATTCAGAGAAAATCTCCGTATCTCCTACTACTCAATGCAAAAGTATGGGAGAGTCGGAACCACACTGAACATAACATTTAATGCAAAATGATTGGGAGCGTGGAGAACAGTTTTCCCATTTATAGCGCAATAGTTAAGCTTTTGCTCACAGCTTACGTAAAGAAACTGCTATTATCTTCCAACGCAGAAGCTGTAAAATCCCACACAAGGTTGGCGAATAAAAGTTTTTCCGCGCCAAGCGCATCATGGTCTCCTTCCCCACCTCCTTATAACGTTTTAAATTAGATTTCAAGTCTGATGTTACATCGTGGCCTGCTGTTCCCACTAGTATGAGGCTTTGAGTTAAGAGGATAAATGGTAAGTCAGTTTTCGGCTATACCCTCGAAGGTTTAATCCCTTCTCGTCGGCTCTAGCACGCCAAAAGAGATCTACCTTTTGAGGTCCACTAGCTGCCCAAGAAACTCTTCCAAACAGTAACGGCGAAAGCTCCGTGTAAGCGATCACCGTCCATATTGCCGAACTGAATCTCACATTTTACTGGCATAAATCTCACAGAAAGAATCACCAATATCTATTCGCATGGTCTATCATCTAACAAGTAAATGTCACATCTCAAACTTTCCTCACAAGGATACCTCCGTATAGATTCTATGTCTATGGAAATATCTACAAGTGCTAATAAATCAACTAACAACTCGAAAACAAGGTGGCCGTGAGACGCAACTACTAAGCAGTTCATGATGAAAACTATCTCACGAATTAGAACTCTCTCTTCCCTTAGGTACCAAGCGAACTTCGTCCCCTCGAGTCCCTCACTGCACTGGTACAATGCATAATGGCATCAATGATTGTTCTGGTGCGGAATATTATAAATACGAGTCAACATTACCTCAGATTATCAACATCTATTTTGCATGTTAAGAAGTAAATGACATGAGGAATTAGAGTGGTTTCCAGGCGCGCACATATGGTGTTCCAACGATATGTAGAGCATTTCTCGGTACCCGTCACCTATCTGAAAGGAGAAATGCATGGCTCAACTCAGTACTCATTATTCAGTATTCGGTCAGGCTCTGTGTGCTAATAACGAAGCTGATTTCAGTCTTCCCCCATTGTCGTCTTCGATAGCACCAAGCGCCCTGCATAGCATGATCAACATTGACAAACTGTACAACGCCAGTAGAACACGCGTTGGTTACTGTTAAGCCGCTGGCGGTACGGCAATTGCATCCGGAGGCGCCGTGGTGGGACTATGATACGCTAAACATCCACATAAACGGCCCAAAGCGCGTAAAAGTTGCAGCACACCAAATATGAACGACAAGATACGGAACTCGACTGACGTGGTTTAAAACTGCGCCAAAAACATTTACATCATTCACGCTAAAATATGATGACTAAGAGCGAAAAAAGCCTTAACACCGAAATAATCGGGTTCTCATTTGGCAGCTGGAGAGCATTTAGTGCAACAAATCATATTGCCTGAAGTAATACAAGTTATCACAGGGAAGGGAGCTCCAGGTGGGGGCACAAGTGGAAGCGAAAAAGTTCACGCAGTACAGATATTTCCTTCCCAGCAGAAATTGAAACACTTGCGGCTAAAACTACAACGCAAAAAACGCTAGCCACATCGCCCCACTTACTGGATGAAACCCCGAATTTGTAACAGCAAGAATTTTACATACTTGCCATGCTTATCAAATTTAGAAACCACCCATGACAACGAAGATGAAAAATGAATCAAATTCAGTTAGCTTCGCGCGCATTGAAGATGGCATTGGAGCACGATAACTGTCTTTTAGCTTGCGCGGAATCGATTCGAGTGACATTTCCTCTAACTATAGAGGAGAAACAGTTGAGGTATTTTACTGAGCAATACAGTTTGGCAACGCATCACCATCTTCGGACGATGGTGGAGTTGGCCAAAGTCGCTACTACGCTAACCGCAATCGGATCCAATTTCAGCAGACCGTTCACCTAACTGAGGTTACTGTTATAATACTAATATCCAAGATACGAGGTGAAGGATGGTTAATACGAAAATACTGTCTCGAAGGCTCAAAAAACCATAAATATAGTGAACTGATATATGTATATGAGCATTTATAAAATTATGGTATATATAGAGAAAAGTATAGACAATAACTGCAGTATATACAACACTGAAATACGAGTTTAGCTGAAACAAATTTTAATGGTGATTAGTTGGTAGCACGACTAAACGGAAAACGAAAGGTGCGGGTTCGACCCCCTTCTGAAGGAAAGAATTTTGCACATGACTCAGCTTTCATCTGATGAATTTTGCATTGCGAACTGTAGCGAAAACAGTCGTTAAGAAAGCAAAAAATCAAAAAGTTCGCCAATCTGAAAAACTGTTCAATTGTGTCTCAAAAAATTGCAAGACACCGTTATCAGTTCGCTTTTTCCGCTCTATCTTATCACTGCACTGACTCCCATCATCTCGACATCGTTCATAAAAAGCCATTGGGACCCCTGCCACCACCCGTCATGTGGCCTAAATTCGATCCGAAATCTACCAATATCAATTTTGAGCCCTTGGAAAGATTGACTAGCGACGGTGAGGAGCTCTGCAGTAGAAGGTAACCTTTTCATGACCAACTCTTCATTCGAACTTCAATGGCTGGAAGCTCAGCTTCCGAGATTTTTTTTAGTATACATTATTTTATTTTTGCAGCCACTCAATTTTTCCTCCATTTGCACACAAAGTTAATTCCTACTCACATAGATTAACTGTTAAGAAATTATGAACGAATATGAAGATGAACGGATCATTTTGGAAAACCTCTGATTATTCTTTTATTTGATTCATAAGTGATAAACCTAAATCATGGATGCAAGAAGAAGAAGAATATAATAGGAAAATTAAATTCTTTTCTGCTACCAATTCATTTTTTGTTT